TAGATGACTGCTTCGCTATTTTTCAGCATCCCTCCCATGCCGACAAGTTTCTCACTTACCTGAATCTTCAGCACCCAAATATGAGGTTCACAAAAGAAACGGAAGTTAATAACAGTTTATCGTTCTTAGACGTTCAAGTGAAACGCGTAGGGTCCAGATTTGAGACATCAGTGTACAGAAAGCAGTCTTTCACTGGCCTCGGGACCAGTTTCTTTAGCTTCATCCCCATGATTGTGAAGAGAGCCATAGTGAATTCAGCGATTTACCGTGCCTTCAAAATAAGTTCAAACTACCTACTCTTCGACAGTGAAGTAAAGTTTTTAACGTCCTTTTTCTGCAACAATGGTTTTCCAAAACAACTTGTAGAACGAACTGTCGGCGACTTCCTGAAGAAGCGCTTTGAGGAAATAAAAAGCTCTGTCAGTGTCAACAAACTCGAGAAATACTTAGTGCTCCCATACTTTGGGGAACAGTCCATTAAAATGCAAAAAGAAGTTCTAGAAGTTCTCAGCAAGTTTTACCCATATTTGAACCCAAAAATAGTATTACGTAACAGATTAACCATAGGATCTATGTTTCGCTACAAGGATAGACTGCCCAAGTCGAGCATCTCTGGTGTGGTTTACAAATATAGTTGCGCCTCATGCCAGGCGTCATACGTTGGCTCCACTTACCAACGCTTGTACACCAGAGTAGCTCAGCACTTAGGCAAGTCACATCGTACAGGTCAACTACTGTCATCTCCCTCAGCATCATCCATCAGAGACCATGCCTTGTCATGTCAATCATCACTAGGGATAGACGACTTTCATATTTTGAGTAGAAGCAGTACATTCCCTGATTTAAGAATTCTGGAATCGTTGTATATTCATCGTCTGAGGCCGCAAATCAACGACATGTCCTCGGCGTATCCACTACGTATCACTGCTTAACTGTGTACTTTTATGTAGCTGTTTCGTTGTGTACGTCATTGTACTTTTGATTGCATTAGGCAGTTTTCTAATTCGAAGCTGAACTCGAACTATTGCATGTGCGTGTGCGATATATTTTATGATCAAAAGTGTGTTTGAATATGTGTCCTGTATCAATTTGAAAAGAGTTTTGTCACTGAAGATGAATCTTGTGATTCAAAACCGGTCTGAATTTAATACATGAATGTCGTGTCATGCCTAACATTAAACAAAATAAAAGATTATCGACTGAACACAAATTCACCAGACTTCAATGGTGGTGTGTAGTGGGAAAGGCAATTCTGGTCCTAGCCCGCGACCTGGTGGGGGGGGGGTATTTTTTGCCCCCCCCCCCCCTCCAGACTTTTCGATATATCTCCAGAACCGCTGCGCCGATCGTCACCACACTTTCAGTACCCTCCCGGACATCAATTTTACACATTGTGACTAAACATTTTCCAAAGACTATGATAGGTAGGCCGCAAATGACGTCAGAGTGACGTCATGTTATGCCGTTTTCGACCCAAAAAAAAGGGTTTCGCGGGAAGAGCTGTCAGACCTATAGCTTTGCAAACACAGGAAAAATGATAAAGACATAAAAGCTTTAGAATTGACAGGGCTACAAAACTGTCATCTCGGATTTTTGAAATTTTTTGATATTGATCCCTAAAAATCAAAAAATATATTTTTGAATAGAATAGCCGAAAAATCAAAAAAGTTTTTTAGATTTCGCAAAAACCGGAATATATGTGATAGTACTTATCACCTTCTACCCACAACCTAAACTTGAGATTGATACCTCTTTTTTTGGCGAAGTTATAGCGGAAAAACTGTTCAAAATTGTTGACGTCAAATTTTCAAACTCAATTTTCAGCAATTCTAGACCCCGTAGCGCAAAGCAAAGACCACCATTAGACTCCCCGCGACGAGCTGCATCGAATCAATACCCATTTTTGAAAAACTATCAACTTCAAAATTTGACCTTTTTTGACCTTACCTTGACCTGACCTTGACCTGACCTTCACCACAAAGTGACCTAAGCCGTACCTGATAGTCTTATAACCAACACCATTGAGTTGGAAATGAAAAATTGGCCATAAAACATGCATCGCACAACCTTAGTACCTAAAATTGGTTCATGTGACCTGACCTGTGACCTTTGGTGACCTGACCTGTGACCTGACCTGGTTTGGTCAGTGACCTCTAATAGCATTATGTGTACTACGCAAAGGACGCCCTATCGGTGATTCTCGACAAAATGCGTTTTCCTCGGTGTTATAGCGCATTCCCTAGAAGACCCGTGAACGGTGATTTCATCTTTGACCTTACCTCTGACGTCATCAGTGACCCCGAGGTCAATGAAATTTATTTTCCCTCGACAAATTTGACAGGCCTTTCGAACGCCGTTTTTAACCCTCGCGGGCCCGGGGGGGGGCGTTTTTCGCCCCCCCCCCCCTGGCGAATATTTGCGATAGCTCCCGAACGCTTAGGGATAGGAAAGCGAAACTTTCAGTACTTTTTCTCCCATAATGTTGACATCTTCTGAAGTAAAAAATTTGGACCTAGCCCCCTTGATGACGTCACAAGGCCCATTTTTCTATACCCCTGCACGGCAAACTTCGGCGTCACAGACGCAAACTTCAAATAGCTGCTAAAAATAGAGTTTTAGAGATAAAGACAACTTACGAGCACGGTTGTGTAGCGTTTGACCCAGAGAAAAATAGAAAAATAGTTTTGGTGACCTGAGGTCAGAGGTCAGGTCAACGACCCCGAAATGTGGTTTTAGTTTTTCGCAAATAACTTCGACAAAAGTGGTCCTAGAGCTACGGCGTAGAGCTAGAGTGGTACCATCGCATTCGCCTTGTCAAGCCGCGTCGAATGATATATATTTTGTTCGGAAAGGTCAAGTTTTATGTTGACCTCATGTGACCTCGAATGACCTCTGGTTGACCTTGACACATGAAAGGTCGTTTATGATGGATTTGTACCCGCTGATCACTAATCTGGCATGTATTTTCCTCTAAGCCTTCATTTAGAGCCTCCGGATGGCAAAATTGTCTTATTTATTATTACTAACTTGAATTAGTGAAATAGCCTCTAGCAGGGATACTCTTCAGTGACCTTGACCTCTGAGCAGCCTTGTATCGTAAGATGAACCACAAATAGGGAACTGATAAGCCTCAAAACATTTCAAAACATCTTGGAAGTTAGCACGCAAGATGTGCGAAAAAGTGCCAAGTTTGAGGTCAATTTTTAGCGTGACCTTGACCTTGACCTTTCACTTTGAGCACATTTTCAGAATACTCAGATTCTCTTCTTTCGTTTGACACCCAATTTTGCCGGTTTGATGCCGTCTTCTAGAAGGCTTACTTTGAGATCACTACACATGTGCCGGTTTTTGCCTTTGACCTTGACCTCTGACCTTGAAAATTGACCTGAGGTCAAAAATTTTAGGTGCTTCAGAATCGTCTCGTAAGGACCTTTCGTTTGGTATCGCTTTTGTTTCCGTAGCTCCCTTATTTACGGAGTTAGACAGGGGGGGGCGAAAAACGCCCCCCCCCGGGCTGCGGTGGTTGGGATTACCCCCCGGGCCCGGCCGGGTTAATTTTGCCGATCCGTCCAGTAGTTTCGGAGATACGAGGGGGGGGGGCAAAAAATAGCCCCTCCCACCAGGTCGCGTTTTAAACAGACCCCACCAGGGCGTGGGCTAATTTTTCTCGCTCGTAGCGCTATTGGTTTGGTCTGCAGAAGGGGTGCCCGTCTTACCTACCCTGACCGTCTTACCCCACTTTCGCCTAATAGGTATATTAACCCGGCAGTTGCTGGGGTATTTCGCCACCCACCGTTTGCTGGGGGGGGGGGCGTTAAACGCCCCCAGCCGATAACTCGAGAACCAAAAGGCACAGCGAAACGCACGAGGCGGCAAACGGAAGAACGCGACGAGACGCTTCAGATGAGTACTTTAAAGTTAAATTTTGAGGTCACAGGTCGGGTCAAGGTCAGGTCAAACACCTGAAATCGGGCTTTCAGTAGCATGGACTTCGGGACTTCGCAATGGGCGCCTCTCGTTATAAACTCTGTCAAAACGGTGCACAATCCATCAAATAAGGCCTACAAGAGTGTCAGCTCCATGTAGGGGTCAGTCAAGCATAGGTCAGGGTGAAGGTCAGGTCAACCGGGTAGGCACATATCCCCGAAAATCAAAACTGATATTCGCAGCCTGTGACACATGTTTTATGGGTACTTCGGGGCGTAGAACACGATGGTGACATTTATTTTATCATATGTGTACGTGTTTGGCTCAAAAAGTTCAATTCAAGAAATGCATGTATCATGGTCGTGAAGTAGTCACGAGAAATTGCCGAGATTCAGTTCAAGATTTTGTAAAATTCGGAACTGTTATCAATAATCGAAGATAGCCTTTTGATTGCTCATGGCATTGGCAGTCTAATAAGGTTTACGGTATGTCTGTATGTCTATTCTGTGATTTTATATGATTTTTTGAACATGTGCCGTTTTTGGTCGAAAACTCAGAAATTATGACATCACTAAAACCTCCATATCTCAAAAATTTCCGACCGATTTTTTTAAACTTTTTCACAATAATCTTCAATCACTTCCCTACAGGTACCCAAAATTTGGCGCGCCTGCGGCGCGCCGTTTTTATGCTATGTCCCGGCGAAACAAGTGGGAGCGTTTAACGCCCCCCCCCCCCCCAGCAACTCGCGGGTTAACAATCATATAGATGAGGGCTAATTTTACCTTGCAACTGCTTCGAGTAGTGTAATTCGTTAAACTGCCCATTTGATTTTACCCTTATACCTTTACTGTTTATAACGCATGTGCTGAGCTGAGGGAATGTCGCAGTTACTCATGTTGTTAATATTCACACATTTGCATATGATAGGTGGTGCTAAATATCGCTCTCAAGCCTCTCGCTGTGTCTGTGCTGGCTGTGTCAGTGTCTGACATTCTGGTGTCAGTGGTGCAGCGGGGAGCGGGCGGCAGCTCTGTCCGACTGCAGTCAGCTGACACAGCTCTGTCCGACAGGGCCGGAGGTGACGGATCCGAGCTGGCCGGGATGGTACAGGGATGGTCTGTCAGTGTCCCTCCAGGGGGTGGCTGCCGACACCATCAGTCACCTGGCTGACCTGGGACGGACGGTATACATCCTGGAGATATACGGTGAGCAGCGGCAGCTCGGACAGGCTGCTGATATACGAGCTCAGTGAATGGCGGACATCGAGTAACGGTGTGCCGGTGTCGGACCTTATGGAGACAGGTGTGATACATAGCCAATGCGCTTTGTGAAACAATGAAGCCAATTGAGCTCCAAAATGGAGGAGGACTGTTCAATCAGTGACATATTCCCTCATAGTTAGTTGAACTACATATTGCGATTGTAATGCAATGTTCAATGCACTTCAATGCATTGGCTGAACTGATTGCATATCCATAGATAACATGAACATTCATGTTATCATGTTCATTCATTCATGTTATCACATTCATTCATGTTTATATGGCATATCATATAGTACCACTGTTATATCATGGCTTACGGTGTCCATAAAACCATGCGAATTCATAGCTGTTTCGTTTTTTCCATATATCGACATGTATTGCAGTGCAGTCCGCTGATCCTGTCTGTATGTGTGTCTGTGTGTTTTCCAGACTGTCCTGATCTCACGGCCGGCAGCCTGGAGCCCCTCACCAGGTGCCCTGGGCTGCACTGGCTCACCCTGTCCGGCGGCGTCCCTGACACCGTGCTGGACAGTCTCAGCGGCTGCCCCGGGCTGGGGGTCCTAAGACTGGGGGACCGCCAGCGGCCGGCAGAGACGGCCTTCACAGCAGCAGCGGTCAGCAGGTCAGTCAGCAGACACTGGAGAGGGGTATCCTGTCAGACACTGACACACTGACACACTGACACTGACACACTGACACTGACACACTGACAATGACACACTGACACTGACACAATGACACTGACACAATGACACTGACACACTGGCACTGACACACTGACACTAACACACTGACACTGACACACTGACACTGACACACTGACACTGACACTGACACGCTGACACTGACACTAACACACTGACATAGACACACTGACACTAACACACTGACACTGACACACTGACACTAGCACATTGACACTGACGCATTGTCACTGACACCAACACACAGACACTGAAATACTGACACTGACACTGATTCGTACGTCCGGCCGGCTGGTGCCGCTGTGTTTGTGTGTGACGGCTCTGCTGCTCTGCTCTGTTACAGACTGGTGAAGTCGTGTCGGAAGCTGTGCCAGCTGTACCTTCACTGCACGGCAGACACCGGCCGGGCCGTGCTGACCGCCCTGAAGGAGACGGACCTGGGCCGGGAGAGTGATGGCTGGCCCCGTACCATCGTTCTCCATGTCCCCGGTAGGTGAGAGGGCGCCGCGCGCCGCGCCTCTGACCAGTCAGTCCCTCACAACAGACGCTGCACGGCGCCACCGGCCTCTCAGACACACACACTCGACCACCGCCGCAGGCCGCGTCACGGACGGTGACGTGACGCGTCACGGCCACCACGGCCGACGGTGACGTCACGTCAGCCGTCTGTCCTGTGTGTGACGTCACTGGCCGGCGGTGTGTGGACATGGCTGTACCGCTGTCTGTGTGTCTGTCTGTGTGTGACGTGTCCACCTCAGACGTGTCTCTGCTCTGTCCACAGGGCAGCTGTACGATCAGCTGAAGAGCCAGAGAGGCGATGGGGTCGGAGTGTGGGAGTGGGAGGATTGGATGAGCTGAACTACCGACCGTGCAGTGATGAGCTGACTGCAGAGAGGCCGAGCCAGTCGGCCGGGGCCGCCAGCTGACTGCTGCCGTGTGTGCTGCACCAGCCGGCACTGAGAGCGGCGCCGGTCAGCCGGCACACGGCCCCGGTGTCCGCTCTAGTGTAGTCATGTAGTTGTAGTAGTAGTAGTGTAAATGTCGTAGAAGCACACGGATGTGATGTAGTGGGTAATTACCCGGCTGGTATTGTGGGTAATTGGACGGGAGATGTGATGCAGTGGGTTATTACCGGGCGGGTATTGTGGGTAATTGGACAGTGAAAAGTGGTGTGCTGGAGGGACTACCGATCGTGGCATTACGCTATTCTGTATGTAGAACACACGTCTCTGACCGTCCGACTCGGTTCACCGCGCCTGGTCCCGGCGGCACGGCCGGCCTCGGTCACGTGACCGTCCCCCGGTGGAGTCGGACGGCTCGGTCACGTGACCGTCCCCCCCGGGTCTGGCTGCACCTCGGCTCGGCGGTGCTGAGCGCCGTGCTGAGCGTGTTGTGACACGTCCCACACGGACAGCTCTACTCGACTACTGGCTAGCTGCCGTCCGAGCTGGCAGTATACACGCGCAAGGCCCTATATACCAGGTAGGGTCGTCCGGCGATTCTACCTTTTCGTGACGTCAGCTCGTGACGTCATTTGGAGTCAAGTCTCGAAGCCCCGTTCAATCCCCATGTAAATGAGCGATTTTCGAAGCACTGTAGAATGAAGTCTGCACAAGATATATCAAACCTAAGCATCTTATCTGAAAGAGCAGACAATTTTCTGCAAGTTATCTATTACGTGTTTTTCGCTAAATCTTTTGCTTTTTTCACAAAAGCGTAAAATGTCCCCCCATGTCTCCGCAGCCTCCCTGCCGCCGGCCGCCGCGCGGTCGCGGTAGTGTAGTGGTTAGCGTGCCCGCGCAGTATTCCAAAGGTCCCGAGTTCGAATCTATGCGGTGCGGAACTTTAATTGCAATTCCAAGCTGAATATACGCACATCCATAAATAATTATTATTCGTATAGCTAAACTGTCACCAAGCTATCCATATAAATTGACTTCACCCAAAATATCGGCAAGATTCTATTAAAATATAAATTCAAATATGGCGGCTTGGACTGCCGCGTGCGTTAGGCTCCGCCCATAGCTCCGCCCACATGCGTGACGTCATTCGTGTTAGTGGACACACACGGAGATAGGGGACGACATGGGCCTGCACGCGGTGCCAGTTCAGTTGGTGACATACCAGGGAAATAAGCTAAAATTAGAGCGCTCTATTTGTTGCTCCTGCCCCATGTTGAAGAGATACCCCTAAAAGCGTGATCTTTTATCGGCCCTTACGCAGCAAGGCAGTACTTCTCAGACCGGTGGACGGTATCAATAGAAAGAGAATGCGTCAAAGATTAACATGAATTAAAGGGACCCTCCCACCTTCAAAAAAGTTAATGAATTGGCATGAAAGTGATGTCCCTTGGTTCAGAAAGAGCGAAAACGAATATCTACCAAATTTCACCGAAAAATATTCACTGGTTTTCAAGATATTAGGCTTTTACTTTTGTTTACTTTTTGGGATCTCCCCTGTTACTAGCGACTTTATTTGGAAGCAATAATTTGGCAGCCTTAAAGTGCGGCAGACGTTGCGCGCAAAGCAGCATATACTACCACGTGTTAACGATGGTTTTAGTCTAAGATTTAAAAATCGTTAGATCTCCGCTGACGTCACAAATTCTAAGGGGGCATTCCAATGCATTAGCCCCTTAGAATCCGAAAACTGCAAGTTTGAAATTCCATATCTTCGAATTAAAGCATTTTTCGATGTTGTGAGTGCCCAAACCGGTATTTGCAGGCCATGGCCACCAATTTGGCTATCTCAACTCAAAACTAATGTTAAGGTGGGAGTGTCCCTTTAATTGAAATAACATTAAAATGTTAATTGAGCGTGGAAAGTAGTCCCAAACATAAGCTAATTATTGCTCCTACCTCGGCGACGGCGCTCCCCGAAGTCAGCGGAGAAGCTAAAATAAAAGCCACGATCCTCCTCCGTAAGTCAATTTTAGAGCAGCCGAGTGGACCGATGCGGGGCCACCAAACTGAGATAAGACGTGGCTAGCAATTGCAAACCGCCATAGAAATCAACATCTTAAGACGTACAATATGGGATGGTTACTCTGAAGCTGGAGTGAAAGCATGAGTAGATTGCAAGAAACGAAATGCATAGACTGGTTGAATTATGTACAATAGGCACAGCTCAATAGATAAAGCCATTTCTATGATGTTGACATTTGACATAACCCTTCCTCTACTCACCTACGACCTAAGTGCATTGGCAGAACTGCCGGCATAGTTTTTGACAAGGCCCTATGTTTTTGAGCACGAGTGTAATTCGCCATCGGACCGCAATGCATGTTGCTAGGCTGCTGCAGTTACAACGAACATACGAATAGGTACTGCCTTCTTTTGTAGACGTTTGTTTTTTAGGCGGTCTTTGACGTACAAGGGGGCATACCTGTCGACAACTTGAGTTTCTCCGAATTTCAAAAACTCCCAGAATTTCAATTCCTTATGCACTGTAGGTACAGCTATGTTCACAAGTTTTCGTTTCCAGTTTCCTCCTGTTCTAAAAAGGATGATATTTGTCGATTTCGTGCGTCGCTGATAGGAGGGTGCGTTTAATAATTAGGCCAACGCTTTCCGCATCCGCGAGTACCTTCAAAAGGGAACAACAGTTTCCATTTATTGCACTATGGGACATGTGACAAAATGATCACTGGAACACGCATGAAACAGAGCTCATATTCCTAAAAATGTCTACAAACACTTCTTTTCTGACACTATTAGCAAATACCATCTCAAGTTAGGTGGTTGACAGACAGTCAATGGAGATCTGGGGAGACTGAGTGATGCCAATTCACCACTTAACTGATAATGAGGGCTGAGGGGAGAGAAACATGCAACATGCACAACTGACAACTTGACAAGTGACAAAACACTACCACTATTGCGCAGTACACAACAAATTACAGCAGCCAGCCCAAAAATGCTTTTGGTGGCTAATTGCAAAACAAGTCACTAATAAATGTCTTAGTTGCAGCTGAACACTGCACAATGATCACACTGTTCACGCATTGAGTGAGATGCCACAGGTGGTTTGAATCACACTTTGGTACAACTGCAAATCTGAAGTGTTGTCATGAGGTTCATGCCTCCATGATCACAGCACTTTGGTTGTGGTTGGCATAACACTTGTAGTCTGCAGAGTTCCACATGAACTGCAGACACCTCATCTGATGGTCTTCATGTTGCTCAACTTCTTCAGGAGGCAAATGTCGACCACCCAGCGGAAGCATGGTCCTGCAGAAAAGAAAGGTAATGCATAAGGTACAAACATTATCTGCTGAAACAGCCCCTTCTGTTGGCTGTTATTAAACTTTTAACATTACATAACAACATGTATTCCATGTATATTACATTTGTTGAAGTAAAATACTGCCGGCTATTTTAAAACCAAAAAATGAAATTATATTGTGGCATAATTTACATGCTCAGCTATCAGCATCAAATCATAAATTAATTTAAAATTTGGCATATTCTATAAAACACATTCATAGAATATTCTACTTCACGTCACAAGGACTCACAGTCTTTCTGTTGGGTGTTTGATTGAAGTTTGTCTTAGGTTTTATTATTGCAAAAAAAATCATATTGCATTACTGTATCAAAATACTGCCAGCAATAACAAAACAAGAACATGAAATGTCAATGAGCAAGCCGCCTTTCCTAAAAATGAGTTACTTTGAAAAGAATTTGTTTCTTTTAAGGAAAAGGAGAAATGATTATCAGGTAATTATCAGAAAACCACTCAACCAGTAAGTGGCTGGGTGGTTTCACAGCAAACATCAAGCCAAAACACTTATTTACATTTATCTAACAATTGAGCCATTTGACTACTACAAGGATATGTGAGCAAAATAAGCATCCAATTATCCAATGTTGACTTCCTTGCAAAGTTTATGCCTTATTTTATGAAAATGTGTCACTAGAATATGATACTTATCATCGAATATTATTTAATTTACGATTTATTTCGATCGAAACGCACATGGAGTTCCGCGCCATTTTCGTCGACGATGAATATGATTGTGTTTCATGAAGAGATATGGGGTTTCAATGGTCTTTCAAAGCAATAATTTGATGCAAAATTTGGTAGGAAATAATATAAAGCTGGTTCAAATGGCCATCAACCATTTAAAACACCGAAAATACTCACAACTCCGTCCCGACGACCACGCGGCACCGCGCACGCCACACAACTGGCACAATGCCAAAACTGCTGTCACAGCAGAAATGTTTTTTTTTTCTCGATTGCAATTGTGGAATTATTTATTAAACAGAAGATGATCTTTCCGAAAAAGCGACTGATTTTATACACAGATGCATGGAAAATAAAAAAATCCCGGTAAGTTTATTTGTATTGTTTTGTCGATTTTGACATGCTCCTAGTTTGCAGCCATGTTTCGAGATGTTCTACAGGGAGTTCAGAATTATTTCAGGACCAATCTTTTCCTCGTTCATTTTACCGTCGATCATGAAATTTTTAGAGCGGAACAATTAGTTTCCAGGCGGTCCGAGCGGTTTTCGTGAGAAGGGTGCAAAAATCGGCGTCATTTTTAGAGCCTCGACACCAGCTCAACACAGGACCCTATGGGAGACGGTGAAGTAGCGGAAGCAATAAATAGAGCGCTTAAATTTTAGCTTATTTCCCTGGTGTGTCGCCGACTGAGTTCAGACGGCGGCCGGCCGCGCCGCGCCCGCCCGCTCCGGTCCCGGCCGGCGGCCGTCACCCGGCCCGGGGCATGTGACCGGTCAGTCAGCTGACCATTGGTCAGTCAGCTGGTTGATCCGTCAGCTGATTGGTCAGTCAGCTGATTGGTTAGTCAGCTGATTGGTTCGTCAGGAGACGCTTCAGCTGTAATATATGTAGCCTGGGGCAATTAGTTACCGGGCGAGTATTGTGGGTAATTGGATGAAGTGATGCGATGTAGTGGGTAATTACCGGTCGGGTATTGTGGATAATGTAACCCTGGGTATGATATAGCCGGCTATCCAACGGTCGGATATAGTCAGCTGGATGCTACTGAATTGTGTAGAGCTCTTACGGCACCGGTCATAGCGAGTGTCCTCGCGTCTGTCCGACTCGGTTCACGGAAGCACGCCGTCACGGCCCGGGTGCGCGCCGCCATGTTGTGTGTCCTCTGCTTCGTACAGGGGGGTAATTGGGCTACCGACCGATTGGGAGTCGGAGTCGGAGTCCGTGTCGATCAAGCTGCCTTGACTCCGACTCCGGAACGGCTTTTTAGATTTTAGTGATCACTTGGCCATGCTACTGATAATCGGCTGCGCTTTGACTAATACATTTTACACATGTCCAGTCTTTGTCCTGGAAAGCAGTTACCTTCGGAGCTTACCTCATCAGTCATCAGTTGTGCTAATGTCCTGATGACCTGAGTACAGTTTGGCTCCACCAGAGTGGGGGGGGGGGGGTGTTTCTGCGCCGCTGTGCCGCCGCTGCTGTGACCTGCCGAGCTGCGGTCCCGGCTCCAGAGCACACCGTCGGCCGTCGAGGCCTGGTCCTTCTGTTCCGTGCACATCATCAACAGGTGTCGTATATATCTATAATACGGGCCCAGCGTGGGAGTTCACCGTTAACCGGCGGCCACACACTGACTGGCTGGATCGCCACTCGCCGTATTTCACCGCCTTCCCCGGTGCCGGGCGGACGATAACCTGTATACGACACACTGTTTTACCCGCCGTCATTTGGGATCAGGTCTGAGAGCCGCCTCGGGTAAATCAGCTGCCGTAGCGAGCCATTTGGCTGGATCTAGGATCCCATCGGATCCGATATCAGGATCACTACGTGGGATCAGACCACAAATACACCTTTTTCTGAGATTCCAGTGCACATTGCACATGTGTTTTGGCCACTCTGACTGGTGTCATGTAAGTAGTTCCCTGTTGCAGTTGTGTGTGTGTTGTATGGCCTGCACCCGTCCCCCTCACAACTGCAGTGCTCGGTGCTGGTCTGTGACCCACAGCTGACACCGGGCCTCCCACCGCCGGCGGATGAGCCGGCCGGCCCGTGCCCGGCCCTCCATTCCAGCCGCCACGGTCGGCCAGCGGCACTTGTCCAACACCGGCTGGACACACTACCGACTCGGAGACACACACGGCTCGAGAGACACCCGTGGCGTGTTCTGGGGCCATACACGGACACTGCAGTGGCGACTGGGCAGAGGTGCGGACCGGACGTACCGCCCGCCCCTCCGACTGGGCAGAGGTGCGGACCGGACGTACCGCCCGCCCCTCCGACTGGGCAGAGGTGCGGACCGGACGTACCGCCCGCCCCTCCGACTGGGCAGAGGTGCGGACCGGACGTACCGCCCGCCCCTCCGACTGGTCAGAGGTGCGGACCGGACGTACCGCCCGCCCCTCCGACTGGACAGAGGTGCGGACCGGACGTACCGCCCGCCCCTCCGACTGGTCAGAGGTGCGGACCGGACGTACCGCCCGCCCCTCCGACTGGACAGAGGTGCGGACCGGACGTACCGCCCGGCCCTCCGACTGGTCAGAGGTGCGGACCGGACGTACCGCCCGCCCCTCCGACTGGACAGAGGTGCGGACCGGACGTACCGCCCGCCCCTCCGACTGGGCAGAGGTGCGGACCGGACGTACCGCCCGCCCCTCCGACTGGGCAGAGGTGCGGACCGGACGTACGGCCCGCCCCTCCGACTGGGCAGAGGTGCGGACCGGACGTACCGCCCGCCCCTCCGACTGGTCAGAGGTGCGGACCGGACGTACCGCCCGCCCCTCCGACTGGTCAGAGGTGCGGACCGGACGTACCGCCCGCCCCTCCGACTGGGCAGAGGTGCGGACCGGACGTACCGCCCGCCCCTCCGACTGGGCAGAGGTGCGGACCGGACGTACCGCCCGCCCCTCCGACTGGGCAGAGGTGCGGACCGGACGTACCGCCCGCCCCTCCGACTGGGCAGAGGTGCGGACCGGACGTACCGCCCGCCCCTCCGACTGGTCAGAGGTGCGGACCGGACGTACCGCCCGCCCCTCCGACTGGGCAGAGGTGCGGACCGGACGTACCGCCCGCCCCTCCGACTGGTCAGAGGTGCGGACCGGACGTACCGCCCGCCCCTCCGACTGGTCAGAGGTGCGGACCGGACGTACCGCCCGCCCCTCCGACTGGTCAGAGGTGCGGACCGGACGTACCGCCCGCCCCTCCGACTGGTCAGAGGTGCGGACCGGACGTACCGCCCGCCCCTCCGACTGGTCAGAGGTGCGGACCGGCTCGGCCGCCCGGCCCGCCCCTCGGCGCGGCTGCCCGGCTCGCTGCTCGCTGCACGGTCCGGTCGGTCCGAGACTCTGTCGGAGCTCTACCCCGCGCCCCGCTGGGGGGGGCAGAATCTGCCCCCCCTCCCGTTTTTCGCCAATAACTTCTAAACGCGTTACGCCAGCGACGTCAAACGTTCAGTACCTTATCATACATCAATTTGACACGTTCCCTGAAAATTTGAGCGAAATCCGTCGGAAAATTTTTGAGAAATTGACGTTTTAGTGACGTCATGTTCGCCATTTTTGCCTAAAAAACGGCAAAATTTCAAACGCCGCTAACTTCTTCATTTTTAAAGGAATCAAGACGTAACAAAAAAGGTTATACGTGATTCTACTTTGTCTATCAAATGGTTATCTCGGTTTTTTGAAAATTTTGGATTTTGGCCAAAATTTTTCCAAAAAAATGACTTTTTTGGGAAAATATTTATAAAATCCAAAATTTTGAGTTTATCGAAAAAACCGGAATAAATGTCAAAGAAGTGGTCTATGTGCACCTACATACCAATTTTTAGAAGAATCGGTTCAAAAATGTGGGAGTTATTCAAAATTTTATGACGTCACGACACACAAAAATTTTGAAAAATGATTTTTTTTGGAAGTTCTAGACCTCGTACGGAAATACAAATAGCACCATTCGATTCGCCGTGAAAAACTGCATCGGATAGACACCTTTTTAGGCCTTAACAGCCAACTTCAAAATTTGACCTCACTTGACCTGACCTTGACCTGACCTCGGCCTGAAATTCATCCAGAGGTGGTCCATATCACTTATTGAGTGTGCCTATTGAATTCCATGAGTAAAATGACCCATAAAACACGTGTCGCACATGCCCTTTTCTATATTTTGTTTTTGGTGACCTGACCTGACCTGACCTGACCTTGACCTTGACCTTTGAATGACATTGTGTGCAACGAATATTGTCTTGGTAGTCTAAGAACACGTTTTGGGCAATCAGTCTCAGTCCATTCTTCGGCAACTACGGTGCAAGGCCGATACTGTAGAAACTTGCATTTTGTACCCTTGACCTGACCTTGACCTGACCTCTGACCTACTTAAGCAGAAAAATTTGGGCTCTTAAGATCCGCCTTGTTGAGAGCTTTCGATTGCCGTTTTCCCCGTCTTTCTACGACCATCGGTTCGGAAGTTAGACAGGGGGGCAGAATCTGCCCCCCCCCCCCAGCAGGGCGCGTATGGCTGAATAGCCCAGCGGGGCGCGGGCTACTGGTGACCGTCCGGCGCGCCGCCGCCGCCGCCACCGCCGCCGCCGGCCAGGTCACGGCCCAGGTGGGGCGCGGCGGGGCGGTGCGTCACCAGCCGCGTGTCCACGGACCGCCACTGGGTAGCTCGGGGGGCGGCGCGCCGCGGCACCTCAGCGCCGGCCCCGTGGGTCACTGAGCGGCGCCGACGGCCGCCACAAGAGAGCTGCCGGCTGGCTGTCGGCCGGCGGTAGCAGAGGACAGCGGGAACAACCGTCGGCCCGGCGGGTCACCGACGGTCCCATCACCCACCGGGGACTGGTGGTGGGAGTCGCCCACCGGTCCCATCACCCACCGGGGACTCGTGGTGGGAGTCGCCACCGGTCCCATCACCCACCGGGGACTGGTGATGGGAGTCGCCCACCGGTCCCATCACCCACCGGGGACTCGTGGTGGGAGTCGCCCACCGGTCCCATCACCCACCGGGGACTGGTGGTGAGAGTCGCCCACCGGTCCCATCACCCACCGGGGACTGGTGGTGGGAGTCGCCCACCGGTCCCATCACCCACCGGGGACTCGTGGTGGGAGTCGCCACCGGTCCCATCGCCCACCGGGGACTGGTGATGGGAGTCGCCCACCGGTCCCATAATCCAACGGGGACTGGTGATGGGAGTCGCCCACCGGTCCCATCACCCACCGGGGACTCGTGGTGGGAGCCGCCCACCGGTCCCATCACCCACCGGGGACTGGTGGTGGGAGTCACCCACCGGTCCCATCACCCACCGGGGACTGGTGGTGGGAGTCGCCCACCGGTCCCATCACCCACCGGGGACTGGTGGTGGGAGTCACCCACCGGTCCCATCACCCACCGGGGACTCGTGGTGGGAGCCGCCCACCGGTCCCATCACCCACCGGGGACTGGTGGTGGGAGTCGCCCACCGGTCCCATCACCCATCGGGGACTCGTGGTGGGAGTCGCCAACCGGTCCCATCACCCACCGGGGACTGGTGGTGGGAGTCGCCCACCGATCCCATCACCCACCGGGGACTGGTGGTGGGAGTCGCCCACCGGTCCCATCACCCACCGGGGACTCGTGGTGGGAGTCGCCCACCGGTCCCATCACCCACCGGGGACTCGTGGTGGGAGTCGCCCACCGGTCCCATCACCCACCGGGGACTCGTGGTGGGAGTCGCCCACCGGTCCCATCACCCACCGGGGACTGGTGGTGGGAGTCGCCACCGGTCCCATCACCCACCGGGGACTGGTGGTGGGAGTCGCCCACCGGTCCCATCACCCACCGGGGACTCGTGGTGGGAGTCGCCACCGGTCCCATCACCCACCGGGGACTGGTGATGGGAGTCGTCCACCGGTCCCATCACCCACCGGGGACTCGTGGTGGGAGTCGCCCACCGGTCCCATTACCCACCGGGGACTCGTGGTGGGAGTCGCCCACCGGTCCCATCACCCACCGGGGACTGGTGGTGGGAGTCGCCCACCGGTCCCATCACCCACCGGGGACTGGTGGTGGGAGTCGCCCACCGGTCCCATCACCCACCGGGGACTGGTGGTGGGAGTCGCCCACCGGTCCCATCACCCACCGGGGACTGGTGATGGGAGTCGCCCACCGGTCCCATCACCCACCGGGGACTCGTGGTGGGAGTCGCCCACCGGTCCCATCACCCACCGGGGACTGGTGGTGGGAGTCGCCCACCGGTCCCATCACCCACCGGGGACTGGTGATGGGAGTCGTCCACCGGCCTCTGAGGGCGGCACCGGTGGGACTGTCTCTGACGACTGTCCCATCCCATAAGTGGGACCGGTGGGAC